GTTAAAATACACATTCTTCCACTTGCCTTCTGGTATGTTGGGCATAAACAACACATCTTGTTCAAACGCTGACCACTTGCGGCTTCTAGGAGAAAAATGACAGAAGCATTTGTGTGTGTGTCTTTTTTTTTTAATCTAAGAATGAGAAGGTATCAATCTGACATGCCACGTATTTAGGTTTGAATGCTACACACAATCAATAATAATAGGAGGAGACATCGTCCTCTTAACCCACAGAGTTACCATAACCCAAGCTTCCAGCCATACCCCAAGCAGGAGAGAGGGGGAAAAAAATCCTTCTGGGCCCGAGGCTGCGTATGAAAATATTGTCCAAACTACTCCCGAGTCAGAAATCGATTTTCCCTGCGCCCTGACAGCATCTCTGGTTCCTGGCAGGTCCCTGTATTCCAGTAGAATACTGCGTGCAAGAGGATGAATACAATCTTGCTCGATTCGATAGAAGATTAGTTTTCTTCATAGTCTGCATATCAAGAGAGCCAGTAAAGAAGAGGTGGAATGAGCCGATTCCTTTATTGTAAAAGCATTTTCATTCCTACCTCTTTAGGATCTGCTTCGTCACACTCGAGTTGAATTCTCTGAGTTATTTTGCCAGTTGAGTACAGAGTATTTTAGTTACACATGTTGAGACTAATTAGTTAGCCCTTAGGAGGTTTTGCCTCCAGTCTTCACCCTGGAAGGAAAAGTGTGAATACGTTGAAACTATTTAATTCACAATAAATGGCATATCATAGCCCTTGCTGAGTACATTTCTGTTTGTCTCTTCCATAAGCTTTGCCCCGGAGTAAGCACCCTGTAAGGCAAATCCTTGACTATCACAAGCTAAATTCCCATTGAGCTCAATCTGCAGGTTTCAATGAAAATCTTTTTTTTATTATTATTTTTAATTTTGGAGGGTGGGGACTCAAATCTTCTGCGAAACTAAATTGGCAATGGGGATTTGGAAGAAGAGGATCCAAATATTGTCACTTTGCTGAAAATCAGCATAACCCTTTTTCCAGATAATCCCAATCATTACAGAGAAATTGCTCTAGACATAACCACTGGAATGGCAGAATCTATTAAAAAAAAAAAAACCTCCCAAGCTAAACAGGCTATTATTATAAGCAAAGATCCGATCTGCTTTCAGTGTTTGGTGAAATGCAGGCGAAGTTCCGGTCTTGTGCTTAGTTTTTAAAGAACAACATGAATGCACTGGAAATGTGATCATTTGATAAACATGTTGATGCCAATATATTTTTGCCTAAATGCAATAAACTCACCAGTAAGTGATGCAAGTTGACAATGGGAGGTAAAATATCTCGGGGACTTGGTGGGCGGCAACGGGGAAACAGCTAACGTTCATGATGCCTAGTGAATTCTTGTGTATTTGAAATGTCAAAGAAAATGTGATGTGTTTCTCTAAATTGTGTCTCTCTCTACATGTATAAATGAACAGACGCAGATAGAGCTCAAAAGCATGGCATGGATGAATTTATCTCTTCCAACCCCTGTAACTTTGACCACGCTTCCCTCTTTGAGATGGTACAACGCCTTACTTTGGATCACAGACTTAATGATTCCTATTCTTGCCTGGCAAGTATATTCTTTGGTCTACAGCAATTTAAACATAACGTTTTTTTTTTGTTTTTGTTTGTTTGTTTTGTTTTTTTAATTTCACTATTTCTCTACCTTTATGTCAAAAGCTCTTTTCTCCCATCACCGAATCCCTTTAGCAATTAGAAATGTGTTCTTGATTTCCTGGGCTGAGATAGTTTGACTTACCAAAGAAGCAAGGCTGAGCGGGAGGAAGTTATCGGTAGAGACAGATCCAATTCCCCAGCCTCCCTCTCTTAGCTTCCCCCCTTTTCAGCTGCTACATGAGACATATTCCCAAGAGGGTAATCGAGTTTGGCACCTGCTTGTAGAGAACTTGTAAAAATTGCCTTGGTAGCTTAGAGTTTAAGATGCCCCTCCCTTCCCTTCCCAGGCCTGGTGATCCTATCTCATAAATGAATGTATTCTTTTTGTATCGTTTTTAAAGATTGAAATGAGTCGTACATAAACTCCCCTTTCCATAAGCTAAGTTGATTTGGGTTTGTTTGTTTGTTTGTGTGGCTTTTTTTTTTTCTTTTTCACAATATTGACAGCATTTTTTATTTTATTTTTTTTTTTACCCTTTGAGGGAATTTTTTATAGTGCTTTAGATATCTGGAAATCCAGCAGGAGTATCAACATTTCCTGAAATCCTATTTTAAACCTAGATATAAATTATTTAAATTCAAGGGACTGCTATTATGTCTTTATTGGATTTCTGAAGATACATTTTTGGCTTTCAACTACCAACTTCAGAAGCCTAAAAAAGACTCAATTTATTTCCTTCTGCAAACCATAAATTGTTACTTGATTTCTTAAAGGTAAATGTTATTATATTAATCCCACTTTAAGGATGAGAATGATGAGGGGAAATGATAAAATGACTGTACACAGAGGAAAATGCTCATCCCTGACTCCAAACACTAAAGTTAATTTATCTATATAGTGTTTATATTATGTAATTAAATAAGGTTAGCATGTTATTGATATTAATAGAAATCACGAAAGCCTTTTTCTTTTCTAAATGACATGGCTATATCCTAACTCTATTCTGACTAATTTTTATTTCAAATTTCTTTTTTTTTTTTTAGTGCCAGAAGCCAATATATAAAAAAAATAGTAGATAAAATAGTCTTAAAAACGGAAACAGGATTATGTGCAATAATTTATTAATCTGTGTCTCATGAAAGATTCATTGATTATCTCAGGTTTAGAATCCCTTCATCAGAATCTGAACTTTGCCAAATTGGAAAGAACACATCACTTTGACTTTAAAAAAAAAAAAAAAAAAAGCTTACCTTGCATTGCAAGGCAATTTTTCTCAAATGTGTTTCCTACAATTATGTGATTATTCACATAATTATAAATCGCATTTATGAAACTCGTAAGAAAAACGCCTCTGAACTTCAATCGTTCCCTTTTGTGTGTAATTCCTCTTCTCTTCAGGGATTTTCTTTGAAGTGTGCTATTTCCAAGACTTTCCACATTATCCTGTTTTAACACAATTTTCTTTGTTTTGAAATTTACCGTGAAGGAGAGTTAGTAAATGTCTTCTAAAATTTAAACCAGAAACGAAATATTGAAGCTTGCTTCCCACTAGTCCCTTCTAGGCTTAAAATTTTAGCCTAAAATCCCAAATGAATTACAAATAGAGTAAAATAGCTTCCTTCCCCATTTGTATACCTGTCTCTATTAATCGTCATCCCCAAATTTCAGAAAATAACAGAAATTAAAAAGACCTTATCTCCTGCCTCTATATATTCCATTTTCTCATTATTACAATCTTTTTTTTTTCAGTTGGTTTTGGAGACCGACCAGCAGGGATACATAAATTTTTCTGTGTCTTCGACTGAGTTCCTAATTGATATTTCTTCAACTCTTTTCAAAGCAGCTATTTTGGCATCTACAAAAGACTTGGTGTCATCTGAGTCGTAGAAAATATATTTTAATCTTTCACAGCAGTGTTGTTTCTAAGATTTAGCATTTGGGGTAGCAGATGGAGTGGCAAAGAAGTTGCCTATAGGGGCAGCCCACTGCCTCGACTACTCTCCCGCCCTCCGCAGTAACTTATAATTTGAAATAGGAAAGATGCCGTCTCCCGTTGGATGCATCTCTGAGCTGCAAGTTGTCAATTGAAGATTCCCCAGATCTCTAATATGAGATTTAGAGGGTTGCAAAGGACCCCCTTGCCGTACTTCCATGGTCTCTACCTGTCCCCAATCACTTAAATCTTTTTGCCTTTTCTCTCCCAAGATGGAAGGATATTCAAAAGATGACTCAGAGAAGACCCTCCAAGTAAAATTAAGTTTAGATTTAAAACCACCCTATACTTCCAGCTTACAAAAAGTACCGTGTCCATTGGTGTATGTCTTGCTTCAAGCAGGAACTGAAACCCCAAAGCATGCTTGATTTCAGGTTCTGTCCATGGGTGACCTTAAGTGACAAGTGACTTGGCCTTTCTGAGCACCTGTTTTCTTAAGGGTATAATGGGGCTAGCAATTTCTAGCCCATCATGCCACAGAACCTGCTGTGAATTAGAGACCCCATCCAGGCTCCCCTTTATAGAAGAGTTTGGGCTGGTCCCATAGCAAGAAAATAAATCATTACCAGAAGAAAAACAAAACAAAACTCTAAATCAGCGCATAAGAAGTTCCTCCCATTTTACTTGAATAATTATATCTGATTCACACCTTGAAAACTTAGTCATGCTGTTCTCTTTGGAGAGTTATATTATTACCTTCATTTAAAAAAAATTTTTTTTAAATGCCTTCCAAAGTAAAAGGATTTATGAAGTCCTGGCATGTATGTAGACCAACCCTCAAATTTCTTCATGCTGCAGAGTAAACAGAAGACTTAGAATAAAACAGAGCTGGATTTGAGTCCTGCCTCTGTTTTGTATTGTCCGTGGGAGTCACTGAACAACCAGGATTTCCATTTCCTTGTCTAGAAAACAAAGATAAGCCTTCTCTGTCTACCTTACAGGCTCAACTAGAAGTTCCTTGTCAAGCGTAAAGAAAGCACTGTGCTAATTTATGGCATTAGCGTCATGGTTTCCAAAGATTTTACCCCACCCCAATATCCCTTAAGGGTATGTGGGGCACAATATCCAAGAAGTGGGGAAGACTCAGTCTCTACAATCATGCAGGCTGCCAATCCAGCTCCAGCACCATCTAGAAAATTCCATGTCCTCCCCGAACTCGGTTTTCCCATCCACGTAACGGGGGTAACAGAATCGTAGGTCCATGGCGGGGAAGAGGTGTTTAGCACGGTGGCTGGCACTTCATAAGCCATCGGCAAGTGCTGGCGCTGGCTGTTTGAGTCCCCAGCGCCAGCCACTCCCAGCTCTAGCGGCTCTCCAGAAAACAACCTGTATTTGAGAGAAAGTCTCTCCTCCGTTCTTCACGCAGGGCTGGTTCAGTCCCGGCCAGGTGTTCGTGCTGGACGAGTACTGCGCCCGGAACGGAGTCCGAGGGTGTCACCGGCATCTCTGCTACCTCAGAGACTTGCTGGAACGGGCAGAAAATGGCGCCATGATCGACCCCACCCTCCTCCACTACAGCTTCGCCTTCTGTGCGTCCCACGTGCACGGGAACAGGTGAGCCCGCGTCTGTGCGCCTAGAATGTCCCTAAAACAACGACACAAAGATAGCATTCGCGAGGGTGTATGGCTGTTGCTGCCTTGAGAATCCTCCCTGACTCCCTGTCCATCCCCAATCCTCAGTAGGACACACACACAGAACACAGAGGTCCAACTCAGCTGCTTCTCCTTTCGGGAGACTTGAAATAGCACAGGGGACTTGTGAGGCAACCTCTGAAGTTAGGCCAATCTAGGTTACAAATCACACCTCCTCCACTTACAAGCAGTGATGCTGGTTGGTGATTAAATTATCCTCCGGGCCACAGTTCTCTCATCTGTAAAATGGGGTTGACTGTCGTCTCATGGGATTGTTGAGAAGATGTAGTAGAACAGAAAGGGGCTCAGCACGATGCCCGAAACATAGCAGGAACTCAATAGACACCTGCCTTTGTTTGTTACCACTTATTCCGTGTTCTTTAGTGACTACCTTCTTAATGTCAGGCACTGTGGTACCCATTTAGTACACATGGTCAGTAAAAACCAGACACCAGACCAGGGCAAAAGTCCATTCCCATTAGTGCTCCAGGGAAAAGGAATAAAATTCCCTGATGGAGAATTTGATTCAGAAACATGAGTCAGATGGAGCGGCCGGATGGCAGGGAGGACCTCCCTGAGGAAGTGATGTTGGGGCTGGGAACCGAAGCCTGTGTAGGAGTTGAGTGGTTCCAGGCAAAAGGAACAGCACGTACAAATGTCCTGTGGAAGGAGGAAGCCAAGTACATTTCGAGAGCTGAGGAAAGCTGGGTGAAGCTGGAAGGCAGAGATGATGATAACACTTAACAATTTAACCACAGAACCTGGAAGAACTTTGGCGATCACAGTCTAATCAACCCCCTCGTTTTGTGGGGTTTCATAAACAAGACTAGAATATCAAGTCTCCTGACTTTCTACTAAGGACTCTCTTTCTTTAGACCTTGCCCAGCTTCTGGGGGAAAAGATCCATGTTCTGAATAATGCAAAGCAGCAAATAATTTAAGAACATTGCCATTTGGCTCTGGAAACATGGAATAAATTTCCACACTGCCACAGCCAGCTTACTATCCCAATGTATGTTAGCCGTGCATTAGTATAAAGACAAGCCTGTATTGCCCCAAATCTCCCCAACCAACAACAAGAGGGGGGGGCACGCCCAGGGAAAAGTAGGTGGCTTCAGAAACCCAACCTCAGATGAAAAAGTCGTTGCTTTGGGGAAATCCACATGTGACAGAATCCAGCATTGACTATATTTATTTTAAAAATCGGAACTGTGTCAGTCATGTTCATCTCAGCAAGCTATAAAACTCAGAAATATCTGTAGGATTTGTTCTGTGCTCTTCCTCTCTCTAGCACTGGTGGATTTTTATGAAATGCAACTGCAATATTTAAAGCTAGATAACAATAGCGTGGTAGGTTTGAATATGTAACAGGCAACGAGGTTATCGTCACCTCCCATTGTTATAAGGTTCGCCAGCCCAGCATGTGACCTTTTATTTGCATAAAAGATACTATGAAAACTCTGTTACCTGGGAGGGATATCTGTGCATAATTCTGCTTTTTATAAATGTGTACACTTTGATGACTATCTGTTACAGCCTCTTGGACTGAATTTTTTATAAGAGAGAGGGAGAGAGGGAAGTTGCATTATATTCTCTGGGTTGTCACACTGTATTCTGCATATGTTACTGAATAAGAAAGTGTTATAAAATAATGAAGTGTTTTTGTAAACTCCCTGGTAAACATCATCATGAATTATGATACACATTGTCTGGATTTCATATTGTAAGACTGCCACTTGATTCACAGTTAGGTTTATACATCTTGTCATGGAAACAGTTTTGGATTTCTTATTTTCTTTTCAGTTCTGATTTTCCTTATGCAAGTTTGCATCTTTTTTTTTTTTCCTTATTATTTTAGTTTGAATGCATTTTCTCTTGCTTTTTGATGCATCCTTCTTTTTCTTTCTTTTGTTGGTGCATGTGTGTGCGCTCTTGAATGTCCCATGGCTGGCCACCCTGTCTGCATGCCTCATGTGACCACCCCCCCTCTCCAAAGTCAACAAATGCATGCGTACCTTAGTGGGCTGCCACCAAATACAGACCCTGAAGGGAGCAAAATTCCCTCCCCACCTGAACCAGAAGCTAAAAGAGATGCCAAAAAGGAATCCAAAAAAAGAAAAGATTTCAAAACCCAGGCAAATCAAGAGCCCAAAAGGTAAGAAGCTGTGTGTGTATTGGCTTATGTTTTGTGATATCTTTGCCCTTCCCCTATCCATCCATGCCATCGTATCAACCTTGGCAGACAGCAAGCTTTGTGTAGTCCTGAAGTCTCTGTTCCTTTAAGGGTGTTTTCAAAACTGTAATTAAAAAAAATCCTAGCAATGGGCAAAAATACCATGTATTGGGACTAAATTTGAGTCAGGTGTTTAGTGGCTTTTAAAACATGTTCGTATTGAAAAGACTAATTGAGCAATATGTAAACAGAATTGTGAGTCAAATTTCTTTTTTCATGGCATCTAGTTAGGGGCCTGGTACCTTCCCAAGTCATTCATAATAAGCAACCTGTGCTTTATAATTTTGAAATTATGTTTTAGGAGCAAATAAAATGGGTCGGCATAAGATGGGCCTATACATTTTTAGTGACTCCATCATTTTCAGCAACTCTCCCCCTCCACATTCATCTTCTAAAAAGGAATCCATCTCAAATAATGATTTGTGATAATGGCACAAAATAAATTTTAATTTGATTTATAAATATTAATTTGTAATCGTTATTAATAGAATCACTTAAACTTTAAGACACTTTGTAAGTTCTAGAATTTTGTTTATCTTGTCCTGTTTCCTATTTCCTTTAGGGATGCTCTTTTGGATTGATAAATTGGCAAATTGGTGACTTTATTTTCCCCTTTTAAAATAGGTTTACTGATTATTTCCAGTGTTAACCTAATATATATGTCTGTCTTCTTCAACTCCTCTACCCTCACCCCAAATTAACATTGACACTTTAAAGCTTTGTCGTTGTGGTTTTGGAACTGATGATTCAGAGCTTGGCATTGCCAAGCTACCCCAAACGTGCAAGCATGTATGGCTTTATGCATCCTTATAAATTTATCCACATAATGAATATTATAAGAATAGTATATAAATATTTCTAAGTCATGAAATGTGTGTAGTTCACTCATAGACAGACCAAACGGAAATGCAAACTTTCACTTTCAGGCGCACGAAGGCAGTCTGTCGATCAGGTCCAATAGTGAAGGTCAGAGAAAACCCATCTCCCTCACTGCAGAATGGAAGGACAGAGGTGAAGTGGGGTTTCTGTTTGTGTTTCGCTGTGAGGGTTAGACTGCAAGGCAATGGGAATTTGCATTCAGTAAAAAAGTGCATACAGAATGCTCCAGGTGCCTGGAGGTCAGGGCTTGACAGTCTGACAAGGCTTTGAGAAGAAGCCTCCCTTGGCTGCTGTCCATGGTGCTGCTTTTGCAAGGCTCAACATTCAAGCGGAGCAGAGAACAAATGGCCGGTGTTGAAAGACAGCACTTGCTCCTGCCTGCTCTGTTTCCTATGCCATGAAAAACCGCCCGTAAGGATCCTGACTGGTACTTTGATAGGTTTATGTATGTTTCAGAATCTATGTTTACATTGCATTTTTTTTTAATGAAGAAAATCATGATAAGTATCTGTTGTGTAGCCTTCTACAGTTGACAAAGTGCTTTCAAGCTTTTTAAACATTTGCTATAAAATTTTCAGGTTAGCTATTTTTACATCCTCTTTGCAGATGATAAAATTGAAGATCTGCAAATTTAAATGGCAAACCCAGATATTCTAAGTCCAAAGCTCTTCCTTTTTGTGCTACCTCAGCACTGTATGTGCTGAAGACCTGAGTTTGTTAAAGCCTGCTCTGCATAAATCTAGGAGTATCAGATCCCATTTCTGTGCCTCAGTTTTCTCACCTGTGAAATAGGCAGACTGAATCATACTATGAATAATATCCCTTTAACCTCTAAAATTCTCTTCTCTGGATTACAATAGCAAATGACATAGCTCATCATGAGGTTTTCATAAGTAAGGTTCAATTAAAATAAGGATAATCACTGCCATTTAGTAAGTACCGCTATATGCCAGGTACTATGTGAAGTGCTGTTAGCATATGTTATTTCATTTTATCTTTGTTATATCCCTATGGGATGAGTGTCATTATTACCGTGATCCAAAAAGTGAGGAGCTTGAGGTTCAGATAAATTCAGTCAACTTAACAAACAACTGTGTGAGCATGGATATTCTAACTTGAGAGAGCACATTTGTAGCAACTCTACCTTATTGCCTGTCCAAGATTAGCACTTATATATGGCGTTAGATGCCAAATTCATAGTTATTTGATATCTATTTCAACATTTCCAAGTGAGATGCTACAGCAGTCATCTGAATTTAAAAGTGGCCTTAAAGGTGCCCCAAATCAACGTGGTAATTTTAGCCTTATGGAGAAATCCAAAGTCTATCTGGAGTTTTAGACCACATAATGGCCAAGTCTCCTTTGAACACTAATTAACAGCCTTTGATATTGGGGAAACCATGTTCCAAACCTCTTTCACCAGCCTGACTGGCATTTACATGTGAAGATGTTATCTATTCTTTGCCCCAGATTTTTAAAAAATTCATGACATGCAAACAAATTGCCCTTCAGCTACATTTAACTGAATAATAGAGCCATTGGCATTGCGATCTCACAACCAGCTTCAGATTAGGTAAAAAATATGTCTTGCCTATTGTTAACTTGGCAGTCCCAGAGGGAGACACAGAGTCCTGCCCTCCTGGGGCTGGCACTCACGTGAGTTGTGGCACTCAGGTGCCAATGACCTGGTTCCTCCTACCTGCTCTGGAAGCCTGTGCACATCTCTATAAAAAAATGTGCCTGTGTGAATCAAAAACATTCTCACCAAATGTAGACACATCTGATCAATCAGGGAGACGAATGCTGTTCAC